GAGAAGGCACAATGTACGAATGGCCTTCACCACTCAAGCCAGCGATCCTAAAAGAATCTGCACCAGCTAAGCTACAAGTTTTTCTCGTGCTCCGAGGAAAATGGTAGATTTAGCTGCCACGTATGATTCTTAGTAGGATCACTGGCTAAGTGGTAAGGGCGATGCGTACATTGTGTGCATCGGAGGCGGTTAATATAAGTGCGTAGGGTGAAGTCGTGGGCCTGCTGCTGTTTGGTAAATGATTTAAAAATCATTGTTTCGAGATTCCCCCTCTGCAATAATGCCCTCTCCCATCCTCAACCACAGGACAATGTTCACCTCATACTCGATCCTGACATAATGACAGCCTTAAAAGTTCAGGGTAACAATCGACATTGAACTGGACCCCCGCGATGCTGGTCCGGGAAATGAGGGGGCAGATGATGCACCAAGGCAGCAACAAACATCCACATGTTGGGTTACTGTCCCATAGCCTACGAAAACCCAACTGGTGGCTGCCAGAGCCATGAAACTTATGGGGAGGTCTAGGTATCCCCCATCTCACAGGGGGTACCGAGCAGGGGGCTCGGGAGAACCCCTCCATATGAAAAGAACTGGTCCAGAGCGCATGTACCGCCATCCATCGGCTTCTTTTGGCTTTCCCACACCCAAGATGATGGAGACCAAGGCGAGGAGGAGATGGCCATACTGTCAGCACGTTGTCCACGGCCCCCTAACACACTATCTTCTGGAGGGAAAGGGTACTGAACACTCCCGCAGGCAACTGGGATGATATTTCCTCCCAAAGGGACCCAAGATACGCGGCCACACTAGTGTACCCTGATCAACGAACCAGTCAAGCTGTTACCTGTGAAACGACATACCTCCTCGCTAGTGTCCATATTAGAAGTACATATGGTGTTGTCGCTTTGAGAGCACCATTGAACTGACCAAAAGGGTCTTGAGCCTACGTCGCATCTTGTAGAAACCTTTTTTTCCCCTTGGGGAGCCAGAGACGGTAATCGAAAATTTAGACCCGGCCAGGACTACGGTTTTGGCGAACATTATACATACATACATCTACATAAGCCATTCCAACACCTGATACCACAACCCACACACTAGCCTATGCGACGCATTTCACAACTTTATCACCTCCAAAAAAATACCTCACACCAAAACACAAAATGGGAACAAAAAAGGAGGGTCAAAAACCCAAAGCGCAAATCCAGCATTACATTTTTAACTACAGGGAAAATGATCCTCCATTTCCTGTCGAGCTCAGAACAGCTGACAAACCCCCCCACTTATATCCCCCCTCACACAATCTGCACTGTCCCCTTGGGGTTTTAAACTTGACTAAACCCTTTTCGTTTACACGGACACATTCACTCAAGGCAGCAATGGTATAAGGCCCTTGCGGGCCTCTACAAAACTGAAACAAGCCTCCCCAAAGCACCAAACTACTCTCTACAAATCTCTAATACGTCCTTGAAACTTTCCTCCTCACCCCTCTCTCTTGCAGCCAAAACGAACTTACTTAAACTGCAGCGGGTCCAGAATAAGGCGCTGCGCTGGGTGCTTGATGTCAGATGGGAGGACTTTGCCACAAGCGAGTCTCGCCATGCCCAATTAGACATCCCTGCGCTGAATCTGTACTGGAAGACGCTCAGTGACAGACAGATAGGCAAAGTTGAGACACGACACAACTACTGGACCTCTCTCCTTGACGAAGACATTCGCAGACCCACAAACCAACACAACCTTTTCTACTCCTTGTATGATCCTGCTCCTAACCCTATTTACAAATAACCTTGGATTCTCTGACAGGTATCATTCTCTGACCCACTTTCGCCTTAGCTTTAGGGTTAAGACATAGCTCAATTCTACACTCCTCTCTAGCGCTAATCTTCGCCTGTCCCGTCCTCCCCGCTCACCCCACAAGAGTCCCAATAGAAGAGCCTGAATTTCTCTTCTCAATATCTGTCCCACAATCGCCTTCGCTGCTGGGTTAAGCCCTGGCTCTATTTCTACGACTAAGAACACTCCTCTCCAGCACTATTCTTCGTCTGTCCCGTCTTCCCCGCTCATCCCATTTGGGATCTTACCTGTACTATCGTTCGTTCGTTCGTTCCTCTGTATGTTAGAAGTGATCAAGGTCCCAGGACCGAAACGTTTTCTAATAAATATGTTATAGGGCTTGCTTACGTGTCTTTCTAAACCAACTTGTCGGTATTTATTACCAAGGTTTATACCACTAGTATCAGATCTGCAGTCATCACAAACAAACCTCCACACCAGTACCCAGTATCACAGGCATCACAAAGCATACACCTACACACCAGTTCAGACACAGGCATCACAAACATACATCCACACCATTCGGATCTACAGCATCACAACATACACCTCCACACCAGTTACAGATCTACAGCATCACAAACTATACACCTCCACACCAGTATAGATCAACAGGCATCACAAAACATTCACCTACACACCAGTATATTTTTTAAGCTATCACAAACAGACCCTCCACACCATATCAGGATCTACAGGCATCACAAACATACACCTCCACACCATTATCAGATCTACATGCATCACAAATCATACACCACAGCCGTACCAGATCTACAGGCATCACAAACATACACCCTCCACACCATATCAGGATCTACAGCATCACAACACCTCCACACAAGTCAAGGTCTACAGGCCATCCACAAAATCCTAACCCATATCAGACTCTACAGGCACACAAACAAACACCTCACCCAGGATCAGGATCTGCAGTTCATCCAAACTTACAACCTCCACACCATCATCGATCTACAAACTCTTACAAACATACACCTCCACACCAGTTATCAGGATCCGACAGCTCACACCAAACATACTCCTACACACTAGATCGTGAATCTACAGTCATCACAAACATACACCTCCACCATATCGATCTACAGCATCACAAATACACCTCCACACCATTTCAGGATCCTACTGATATCTTAAACATCACCTACCACCAGTATCAGGACTACAGGCATCACAAACATACACTCTCCACACCAGTATCAGGATCTACAGGCATCACGAACCCACACACAATATCAGATCTACGAGGCACACAAACATACACCACACCAGTATCAGGATCTACAGTCATCACAAACATACACTCCACACCAGTATCAGATCTACAGGCATCACAAACATACACCTTTCACACCAGTAAACAGGATCTTTCAGTCATCACAAACATACACCTCCACACCAGTATCAGGATCTACAGGCATCACAAACATACACCTACACACCAGTATCAGGATCTACAGGCATCACAAACATACACCTACACACCATATAGGATCTACAGGCATCACAAACACCTACACACCAGTATCAGGATCTACAGCATCACAACATACACCACACCCCCAGTATCAGGATCTACAGTCATCACAAACATACACCTCCCACCCCGTATCAGGATCTACAGGCATCACAAACATACACCTCCACACCAGTATCAGGATCTACAGGCATCACAAACATACACCTCCACACCAGTATCAGGATCTACAGGCATCACAAACACCTACACACCAGTATCAGGATCTGCAGTCATCACAAACATACACCTACACACCAGTATCAGGATCTACAGGCATCACAAACACCTACACACCAGTATCAGGATCTGCAGTCATCACAAACATACACCTACACACTAGTATCAGGATCTACAGTCATCACAAACATACACCTACACACTAGTATCAGGATCTACAGTCATCACAAACATACACCTACACACAAGTATCAGGATCTACAGTCATCACAAACATACACCTACACACAAGTATCAGGATCTACAGTCATCACAAACATACACCTACACACAAGTATCAGGATCTACAGTCATCACAAACATACACCTACACACCAGTATCAGGATATACAGGCATCACAAACATACACCTACACACAAGTATCAGGATAATACAGGCATCACAAACATACACCTCCACACCCCGTTCAGGGTATACAGGCATCACAAACATACACCTACACACTAGTATCAGGATCACAGTCATCACAAACATACACCTACACACAAGTATCAGATCACAGTCATCACAAACATACAAACCCACACACTAGTATCAGGATATACAGGCATCACAAACATACACCTACACACCAGTATCAGGATCTGCAGTCATCACAAACATACACCTACACACCAGTATCAGGATCTGCAGTCATCACAAACATACACCTACACACCAGTATCAGGATCTACAGGCATCACGAACATCTCGTCACTAGCAGCAAGAGATACATTCATGGTTGACATTACTTACATTTATATGATCTCAAACTGTCACTCTGAATACAAATGATTATAAACCTTTCACTCAAATACATTGTTTTACTGTTTCTGGAACTGCTATTATTTTTTTTATTTACACATCGGCCGTTTCCCACCAAGGCAGGTGACCAAAAAAAAAGAAGAAACACTTTCATTTTCATTCACTCAATCATAGTCTCGCCAGAGGCGTGCCTACACTACACTTAAAAACTGCAGCATAGCAACACCCTCACCTTCAGAGCACACGCACTGTACTTCCCACCTCCATCTAACCGGTTTCCCTGAATCCTTTCATAAATGTTGCTATACATGCACTCCAACAGCCCGACAATTCGTAAAAATAATTTATCTCCACTCTCTCCTAACACGTTCACGCACACTTGCTGGAAGTCCAAGCCCCTCGCACACAAAACCTTCTTTACCCCTTCCCTTCAACCTTTTCTAGGCCGACCCCTACACCATCTTCCTTCCACTACAGATTTATACTCTCCAAGTCATTCTAGTTTGTTCCATCCTCTCTATATACCCAAACTACCTCTACGACACTTCCTCTTTAGAAATCCCGCACCTCCTAATATCCAAACTACGCATTCTCTTCACAACGCACATTATTATTTCTAACACACATGTATCTTCACACCAGTACCTGGAGCTCCGGCAATCACCACCATCAAGTTAACTGAACACAGCATCTATGTCACTTGGTCTCCGCCCGAAGAAGCCAACGGACAAATATTAGGTTACTCAGTCAACATTATAAATGAGATTAGAAATATAACCTTATATACTGATGGAATGTATAATAATGCTGTGATCTTCGATATACAACAAAACCAGTCGTATAAGATCACAGTGGAGGCTGCAACTGAGGCAGGCTGGGGACTTCCGTCTGATGCAGTGACTATTTATACCGCAGGTAATGGTAAGTGTTACTGTTTGTTGGTTGTACTGAAATACTTGTAAATATGTAATATAAAATTTTATTATAGATAATAAGTTGGTAGACAGCAACCGCCCAGGTAGGTCCTATCGTCCTGCCAAATGCGTTTGAAACGGAAACTTGTAATTGTTTCACACAATGGTAAGAATGCTAGTGTCTTTTTCTTTCTGTCTCATAAACACTCAAGAAAACAGGTACTTCTTGCAATTTGTACTTACACTTAGGCAAACTACATATACATGATCACGCATATGTATGCACACCGACCTTAATTTTCGCCTATTTTTCTAAATAGTTGCTGTTTTTTTTTTATTTCCTCTCATCTCCATGAGGAAATTGAAAAGAATTTTTCCTCCGTAAGCCAAGCATGTCGTAGGAGGGGTCTAAAATGCCGGAAGCAAGGGACTAATAACCCTTTCTCCAGTATAATTTACTAAAATGCAAGAAAAACTTTTTAAAACTGGGATGTTTGAATGATCGTGGATGTAGTGCAGATGATAAGAGAGAGACGATTGCCAATTTTATGAACGAAAAAAAAAAAATGGATGTCCTAACTCGAAGCAAAACAAACCTGAAGAGGGTAGGGGAGTTTCGGTGGTGGAGAAATAAATGGGATAAAGTCAGAAGAATCTGAGAGAATTAGAACTAAGGAAGGTGTGGCAATAATGCTGAAGGATCAGTTATGGAAGGAGAAGAGGAATATAAATGTATAAATTCGATGATTATGTGGATTAAATTAAGGGTCGTATGGGAAAAATGAGTTACAATAAGTGTGTATGCACCTGGAGAAGAGAGGAGTGTAGATGAGAGAGAGAGAGATTTTGGGAGATGTTAAGCGAGTTTTTATGAACTTTTGAACCTAGTGAGAGAGTAATTGTGTTAGGGGACCAAAATGCTAAAATAAGAGAAACGTTTAGAGAGGGTGTGGTAGGTAAGTTTGGGGTGCCAGGTGTAAATGATAATGGGGAACATTTAATTGAACTTTGTATAGAAAAGGGTTTGGTTATAAGTAACGCATATTTTAAGAAAAAAAAGGATAAATTAGTACACAAGATATGATATAGGGCGAAATGACAATAGTTTGTTGACCTATGTATTAGTAGATGAAAGACTGATGGGTAGACTTCAGGATGTACATGTTTATTGAAGGGCCACAGATATATCAGATCATTTTTACTTGTAGATACAGCGAGAGTAAAAGGTACATGAGAGGCAAAGAAAACAGAATCAACAAGTAAGAGAGAAGGGAAGGTTCATAAACTACAGGAGGATTCAGTTAGGCTAAGATATAAACAACTATTGGAAGAAAGATGGGTTAGTGGGAGTATAGGTTGAAGAGGCATGGGGCAAATTTAAGAAAGTAGTGTTAGAGTGTTCAGCAGAAGTTTAAGGTTACAGGAAAGAGGGTATGGGAGGGAAGAAGAGCGATTGACGGAATGACGAGGTATAGAGAGCAGTAAGAGAGAAAAATTAGCATACAAAAGTTTTTTACAAAGTAGAAGCGATACACAATGGGAGGAATATATGGAAAGAAAAAGAGAGGTTAAGAGAGTGGTGAAACTATGTAAAAAGAGAGCAAATGAGAGAGTGGGTGAGATGTTATCAACAAATTTTGCTGAGAATAAGAAAAAGTTTTGGAGTGAGATTAACAGGCTGAGTAAGCCTGGGGAACGAATGGATTTCAAAGTTAAAAATAGGAGAGGAGAGTTATTAGATGGAGAGTTAGAGGTATCAGGAAGATGAAGGGAATATTTTGAGGAATTATTAAATATTGATGAGGATAGGGAAGCTGTGATTTCGTGTACTGGGTAGGGAGGTATAACATATTGTAGGAGTGAGGAAGAGCCAGTTGTGAGTGTGTGGGGGAAGTGTGTGAGGCAGTGGGTTGAATGAAATGAGGTAAAGCAGCTGGGATTAATGGGATAAAGACAGAAATATTAAAAGCAGGTTGGGATTTAGTTTTGGATTGTTTAGTGATTTTATTTAAGAAATGTATGGAAGAAGGTAAGGTACCTAGGGATTGGCAGAGAGCATGCATAGCGCCTCTCTAGAGAGGAAAAGGGGACAAAAGAGAGTGTAAAAATGATAGGGGAATAAGCCTGTTAAGTATACGTGGTAAAGTGTATGGTAGAGTAATTATTGAAATAATTAAGAGTAATACGAAATGCAGGATAGCAGATGAACAAGGAGGCTTAAGGAAGGGTAGGGGGTGTGTAGACCAAGTGTTTACAGTGAAAAATATAGGTAAACAGAATTTAGATAAAGGTAAAGAAGGTTTTGTGGAATTTATGGATTTGGAAAAGGCATATGACATGGTGGATAAGGGACAATATGACAGATGTTGCAGTTGTATGGAATAGGAGGTAGGCTACTGAAAGCAATGAAGAATTTTTACGTGGATAGTGAGGCTCAGGTTAGAGTATGTAGGAGAAAGGGAGATTATTCTCCAGTAAAAGTAGGCCTTAGACAAAGATGTGTGATGTTATCATGGTTATTCCATATATTTATAGACGGAATAGTAAGAGAAGTAAATACTCGGGTATTGGCAAGAGGTGTGGGATTAAAAGATAAAGAATCTAACACATATTGGGACTTGTCACAGTTGCTCTTTGCTGATGACTCTGCTTTTCGGACATTTTGAAAACTGTCTACTACAGGAGCTGCTTCAGTACAATTTGTCTACAAGACACAAAAGTGTGGACAATGTGTCTACATGATACTACGGTGTCCCGTGGCCCTATGGCGAAAGCTCTCGCTTCACACGGTGAGGGTCCGGGTTCGATTCCGGCGAACGGGTGGAAACATTGGACGTGTTTCCTTACACTCATCAGTAAAATGGGTATCTGGTTGTTAGTCGACTGGTGTGAGTCGCATCCTGGGAAAAAACTGACCTAATTTTCCCGAAATGCTCTGCATAACAAGGGGCTTTCTGCATAGTAGTATGTCATTGATGTCAGCTAGGACTGTATACCTTGTACATGTACTTGTAGTAAATAAAGATATTATTATTATTATTATTATTATTAATTATTATTATTATTATTATTATAAACAGCTACTGCAGGGAATCTTGTTTATAATAGTGGTCGGGCAGCCCACTACCATCAAAGAAACCAAGCTGGTCGTGGTAGGTTACCATAAACAGAGAACAAGATGGTGAGAACTAGTCACTACCAACATACTGACCAAGTTAGACAAGACTTGTCACTATAAACATACAAAGCAGACTAGAGATGGTCAGTGCAGACACACAGCCAGGATAAAGCAAGTCAGTGCTGGTCAGTAGCAACATTCGATCCTAGCTGGTCAGGACTATTTAGTAACAGCGTGATACTATTTTCTTATGATTGTTGATCACACTAAAATATTTATTGTTAAAGAGATAACAATCTTTTCCTGAAATTTTACGAAAATATTTCAAGGATTTAATCATATTAAACCTAACATCATTCTTTTTTCTTTGTTGCTTCAGAGATGTTAAGGAAGTCTTGAATATAGAGTGGAACTGGCTCACAGATGGCTCCAACCTCATCCTGTTTCCTACTTGTATGTTCCATAACAATAAAAATGCTTTCAAATGAGCTGATGTATGTAACAGCTCTTATCTTGTCAATAAAGTTAGGAATCCTTAACCTGACCTTGTCAAAACCCTGTGTACAAAAACAAAAAAAAAGAGCTCTAGGGAACTGAAAATCATCAGGGACAACCTACAAAATCATCAGGTACAGCCTACAAAATAATCAGGTACAGCCTACAAAATCATCAGGTACAGCCTACAAAATCATCAGGGACAACCTACAAAATCATCAGGGACAACCTACAAAATCATCAGGTACAGCCTACAAAATCATCTGGTACAGCCTACAAAATCATCAGGGACAACCTGCAAATTCATCAGGGACAACCTACAAAATCATCAGGGACAACCTACAAAATCATCAGGTACAGCCTACAAAATCATCAGGTACAGCCTACAAAATCATCGGGTACAGCCTACAATATCATCGGGTACAGCCTACAAAATCATCAGGTACAGCCTACAAAATCATCAGGTATAGCCTACAAAATCATCAGGTACAGCCTACAAAATCATCAGGTACAGCCTACAAAATTATCAGGTACAGCCTACAAAATCATCAGGTACAGCCTACAAAATCATCAGGTACAGCCTACAAAATCATCAGGGACAACCTACAAAATCATCAGATACAGCCTACAAAATCATCAGATACAGCCTACAAAATTATTAATTTTATCTTTTCAGAGATTTAAGAAAACGAACTGATTCTAGATGTACAAAAGGTTACCAGCCTAATGATAATGATTGATGTGTCACCATCAAGGTCATCATTTATAAAAGGTCAACACCTTGATAGTTATGTATAAAATGACAGCAGCTTGATAATAATGTATAATAAGTCAACAAACCATACCACGGGCGGGGATAGAACCCGCGGTCAGAGAGTCTCAAAACTCCAGACCGTTGCGTTAGCCACTGGTCCAGTGGCTAACGCGACGGTCTGGAGTTTTGAGACTCTCTGATCGCGAGTTCTATCCCCGCCCGTGGTATGGTTTGTTTGCAATCGTGTCATTACGATTTCGTGAGTCAGTAAGTCAACACCTTGATGATAATGTATAGGTCAGTACCTTAATGATAATGTGTAAGTCAATACCTTGATGATTATGTATAAGTCAACACCTTGATGATAATGTATATATCAATACCTTGATGATAATGTATAACTCGATATCTTGATGATAATGTATAAGTCAGCACCTTGATATTAATGTATAACTCGATAACTTGATGATAATGTATAAGTCAACACCTTGATATTAATGTATAACTCGATATCTTGATGATAATGTATGTCAACACCTTGATATTAATGTATAACTCGATAACTTGATGATAATGTATAAGTCAACACCTTGATATTAATGTATAACTCGATATCTTGATGATAATGTATAAGTCAACACCTTGATATTAAGTATAACTCGATATCTTGATGATAATGTATAAGTCAACACCTTGATATTAATGTATAACTCGATATCTTGATGATAATGTATAAGTCAACACCTTGATATTAATGTATAACTCGATATCTTGATGATAATGTATAAGTCAACACCTTGATGGTCATATGTGAGATAACAAAACCATGATTGTGATGGATAGGATGTTAACACCACGATGGTCATGGTGACCATAATCATACAGTGTACAATAAACCCACTACCTTGATGACCATATAAATGTCGTGGCCGAATAGTAAAACTTGCGATTTTGGCTTCAATAGCAAAAAAAGGCACAATACCGTGACTGGAAACGATACACAAAATAACCCACACATAAAAGAGAAGCTTACGGCGACGTTTCGGTCCGGGCTTGGACCATTTACAAAGTCACACTAACCAGAAGTGGGGCAGGACGGGTATATATAGGCAAGAAGAGGTGGTGGGGTGTAGTAGTAGTAGTAGTAGTAGTAGTAGTAGTAGTAGTAGTAGTAGTAGTATTAGTAGTAGTAGTAGTAGTAGAGGAAGTAGTATGAGTGGTAGTAGTGGGGAATAAGGAGGACGAGTCAGTCAAATAAAAAGGAAGGGGAGCAAATGCAAGGGAGCTAGGTGCCCAGAGAGAGAGAGCAAGCGCACAGAAGTGGGAAGTGGTGAAATAAATAAAGAAGGAACAGAAACATGAGACAGAAGAGAGAAAGGCACCCAGAGGAGAAAAAGGAAAGAGGAAAGGGGAAGAGGAAGAAAAAAAAATGAGGAGTCAGGTTAAGTCACGGGTTTTTTGAAGTTTGGAGCATTTTACAATGTAGTGGGAGAGGAAGGCATCTACAGAGACGAAGCCAGGGCTGAGATTTATACAAGGAAAGTTTTGGGATTTGAGAGGATTCAACTAGACGGCGACTGTTCGAGTTGGAAGTAGGGAAGACAGTTTTAGTAGAAGACCAGTCAAAAGGATTTGGGTATGATCTCTGACGTGACAGAAAAGAGCACTGTTAGTGTCGGGAAGCCTAACACTATTTTTGTGCTCCCCAGTCTGTCAGAAAGAGATCCCACCAGTTTCTCCAAAGATGAAAAGGGCAGGAAAGAGCAAGAAATAGAGTAGACACCAGGAACACTGTAGAGGAAGGAGAGGTATGAACGAGATTAGTGCGAAGTGTTTAGTCGGCGGAAGTAAGCTTTATGTCTAAGGGACGGATAAAAATTGTTGAGATTAGAAAGACCGGAATGTAGGGAAGGCAGAGGATGGAGAGTTCCCAGGAGTAGAGAGTTTGGGAGAGAAAAAATTACGTTTAGCACATGAGAGGGCAGAGTCTATGAAATGGGAAGGGTAAACCAAGACGGGAAAACGAATTATGAAAAGTGGAAATTTCTGCTGGAAGGACTAAAGGATCACAGATGCGGAGGCACGAAGAAAGAGGGAGATAAGAACACTTTTCTTGACAGGGGAAGATGATAGGAAAAGTAGTGAATGTACATGCCACTGTGCATAGGTTTACCGGTAACGGAAAAGGAAAACCTGTATCTGAGCGGTGGACATGGGGCCAAGAAAAGGAAGCAAGGAATTAGATTCCCATTCAGCTTTAAACTTAATGGAAGGGGCAAGATATAAGAGCTTCAAGAAAGGTTGGAAGAGACTGGAGTCATGAGGCCACAGAGCAAAGATGTCATCCACATAGCGGAGCCAGAGTGAAGGTTGGACATAGAGGGTAGGAAGAAGAACAGTCTCCAAGTACTCCATGTAAAGATTAGCAAGAACAGGAGAGAGAGGAGATCCCATAGCGACATCGAAGGTTTGAGAATAATATTTCCCTTGGAAGGAAAAGGAATTAGAGTCCACACAGAGGAGGACAAGATCAAGAAAAACATCAGTAGGTATAGGGAGATGTAGAAACCCTTCATGGACCTCCTCCTTATTCCCCACTACTACCACTACTACTACCTCTACTACTACTACTACTACTACTACTACTACTACTACTACTACTACTACTACTACTACTACCACCACCACCACTTCCTGCCTATATATAGCCGTCCTGCTCCACTTCTGGTTAGTGTGACTTTGTAAATGGTCCAAGTCGGACCGAAACGTCGTCGTAAGCTTCTCTCTTTCATGTGCGGGTTATTTGTGTATTTCGCAAAAATCATTCTGAACCTAACCCAAAAAATATAATTCATTGTGTTTGTTTACTAAATTATTGTAAACTTATCTTAAATATATTTAGTTGGATTAATCTAAATTAAATTGCGCTTGTTATAATAAAGTTAGGTAAGTTTTTTTAAGGTTCTTTGGTACAAATTATAAAATTTTTTAATTAACATAATGAAAAAATAACCTTTAAACTTATAAAAAAAATATTAGAAAAAGAAAATTTAAATGATTCCCGCTAATTAACCGTTTTACCCATTGGCCGATATATAAATATATTAAATATAAAATATTTTTTTTAAATATAATATATTATTATTTTATATATATATAAAAATGAAATACGAACAAGCGATTTCAAATATTTACCAAAAAGCGGCAGGAAGGACTCGACCCTACAACTTTTAACCGCCCCCAGAAAAGGGCCAATGTACGAATCCCCTTCCCACCGAGCCACGACCAAAAGAATCATGCACCCAGCTAAGCTACATGTTTTTTTCCCCCGTGATCCGGGGAAATGAAATTTAGCTGCCGTATGATTCTTGTAGGATATGCCAAGGGGTAAGGGATGCGTACATTGTGGCCTTGGGGGGGAAAAGTTCGTAGGGTCGATCCTGGCCTTCGCTTTTTTGGTAAATGATTTAAAATCACTTGTTTCGAATTTTCCTGCTAGGGAAACTCTTGTTGAGGTGAATATTAAAAACAGGAGGAGGCTGAAATTAACCCTCGAGATACCACTGCCACGAGTGCCTTGGATCATGAGAAAAACATGTAGCTTAGCTGCATGCGTGTTTCTTGTGGGATCGCTGGCTCAATGGTAAGGCATGCGTCTTGTCGTCTCTGGGGGCGGTATAAGGTTCGGGGTCGAGCCCGGGCCGCCGCGGTTTGGTGAAATATATTAAAATATATAAAAAAATATAATATAAAATATATATAATAAAATATAAATATTTTAAAAATTTTTAAAATAAACTGATTTTGGCTGAAGAAATCGAACATACGACCTTAGAACAAGGTATCGTGCTATCCCTTTACCCAAAATAAAAACCCTTTGGGTTAGCTACGCTACACGTTGATCCAAGGCAGCCAGCTTTCGGGGAGAACTTCGCTTTTCATCCACCCCCTGCTGAAACAGCCTAATAGAGAATTTTTTAAAAATGCAAGGAATTTTTCAAGAGCGGGCAAATATAAAAACAAAACCTTTGGCTGAAGGACACCAACCTACGACCTTAAACAAAAGGGAGCAGTGCTATACCAACTACCCACACGGACAATACCTTGGCGGTAGCTAGCGCTACACTTATCCAAGGCAGGGGGGTTAAATGCGTGCTAAAATTTAAATAGAAAAAGGGCCGCGCAATGGCTTTAAATTGGAAAAATTTAGATTCAGAAGGATATAGGAAAGCACCCTTTGGGAAAAGGTACCGAGTACCCTCATAGACCTAAGATTTGTGTATTTTAAAA